TACATCAACCAGCGCTAACGGCATACGATACTGATACACTATCCTTCAGTGTATCAGTATTATGGAACACAGTTACCGTTAGCGCTGAGGATGAAGCGCTGATAAGTTGAGGATGAAGTTTAATCGATGAGTCATCATGATGAATTACTAGGATATAACTACGATGGTTTCCAGATATGTACCAAGTGGCGATTAATTTGACATAATGTGACGACAAATAGCCCTCATTACTAACGCTCCCCTCTTCCCCTACATAACGTTTAAGATTTCAATTTATTAATTGAAGCTGACACACACGATAATCAGAGCGCGATAACTAAACTGCCAATTACAAAGGTAATGCGACCGTTATTAAATATTGCAAAATTATAATTGTTATATTCAATAACACGTTTTCATAAAAATAATGATGCGTTCCTCGCATATTCATTTGTACTAAATACGTTTTATATGCATAATTATAGTTAGTTCACATATCAAATTTCATTACAATATGTTCACAGCCTATAAGAGAGATTTCTTTATATAAATCTGACCTGAACTATAGAACTAAAAAGACACATCCTTTATTGAAGTTCGTTTATGATTTTGGGGGATGTTTTTATACAATTTTGCTACAGTAGAAATATCAATTCAGAGGACAAAATGCATAATAATCTTAATTGTTGTTCTTTACAAACAAATAGTATACTTTATTATATGGATACAAACAATCAAATACATTTACAGTTAATTAAGATGATTGGTCAATGACACAACACTAACAGTAGAAGAAAGAGTACCAACACAATCTGTATTTCTTTTTACTCGTATATGTGTAGCACCAGATTCTTTTTCTCGCATGAATCAATTACTCTTTGCCAATATTCTAGACTGTGCTCTGTCCCTCTCCCACACAGTTGAAACGATTAACACAATCATTACGTGAAAAAGAAAGATGTTTTTGCACCGACTGTCAAATATAAACCGTATAGAAGCGATTCTCAGTAGAAAATATTCGGGACGGAGTTTGTTCTCACCAATATATGGAACGAAATATTTTTTTAAAATTCCCTGAATATATCAATACAATAAAGGTAAGAATGCTAAAAATGTGACGACGCAAACACTTTTCGCGTTTCATACACAATTACCGTAATTTTTACTCATTTATGAATGAATTACCACTAAATTGTTATGAAATTGCTCATATACCCACATAATATGCAAATTAATGGCTAAATATTTGCATGCTCATGCATATTACAATCTTTGCTTTGCCTCTTGTTGTTCAACATCGTTGTAAATGATGCAAGTTCATATAAGTATAAGTGTGAATGGGCTCTACCATTACTGTATCCGGAGCGTGCCATCAGCTGCACTTTAATTCAGAATGTATAAGTAAACACAAATTTAGACCTAGAAATGTTCTTTGCAGCACTTTGCATATTTAGTGAGTAGAAAAATGTTTGAAAAGCGTGACGAAAATCGGCACATCTAAGATCATGTAAAAGTGTTATATATAGAATGGTTTAATCAAGGAGATTAATAACCGTCTGTGAAGAAGCAAATGGCGCTAAATTCAATTTCCCTAAGACAGAATACGTGATAAATTGTTCTGAATCGGCCATTAGATGCGACGCCGCGTGAGGGCCCGAAGCGTCAGCAGTTTACACGTCTTATTGCTTGTCGTGCAGCTCACAAGTTCTCGGCGTCGCCCGCGTCGCGGCGCGCAATAAAAACATCAACCGTATTGACCAAAATAACTCTTGGCACTCATTCGAGAGTCCGACAGATACTGTAAAGTGAAGCGCTCCATGATCTATACAGAACTCTACGAGTATATAAGTCGCACTTCGAGGTATACCGGCCAGACGGTATGAACTGATGAACTGAGGGCACCGTGCCAAAATTAACACATATATTTATTCTTTGATAATTGATATTTTATTCCATATTATTTAATACGATTTATATGAATTTGTAGCAAATATATACTACGTTACTGGCCTGCCATAGTTTCGTCTGAGAGCTCATAATTCTATTAGATTTTTGTTATACAAGCAGCATAAGATTTACGTTTCAGCTTAAATCCTCGAATTCTTATATTACAGCCTATATTCTTCTATATAGTCTATATTTAATATAATAGCTTTTTAATTTTTTTTTATAAAATCCTCTCACCTAGTAAATATAGAGTATAAATAAAGTAGGAATATTACAAATATTTAAAACTTTTCCATTTTTTCCACTGCGTGAAAGAGTACAATTAGTTACTATAATTTTAACATGAATTCATACATAGATACATTGCGAATTGGATGAGAATAAATTTTAAGGCTGTGTTGCATGCTAAACAGGACATGGAGTGTACTGGGGTTATCTTATTGTATGTCGGACTGTTAGTCATGCATATCAGTATATTTTAGCCTACAATTTTTATAAAGCACATAAACTTCTGATTTATTTTGACACAAACAGTATTATATCACACATACTAGCAGATTGAACACCAGTATCCAGTGTAATTGCATTTACATAGACGAACTTTGCAACTTGTTAGTTAAACTCTTTGGAATGAAATCTTTTAAGTATAGTATAATACAATAATCATTATATCAACATTATGGTATTGTTTACAATACAGTATTTACTTAGTTTAGAAACCTAGATACTGCACGGTTGGAAAATGGATTTACAAATAAAACTTTGCATTTAGAACAACCGTTACTAATGAGTACCTGTCTAAAAATATAAAAGTAATGGTTACTACAAGAATTTTGATTAAGAGCATTCATATCGAAGTCTCCCAAAGCCTGGATTACCTATGCATTAAAAACAATAACAATTACTTTTAATATTATTAAAAGGAAATATTTTTAATATATTTTTTGTATGTTTATTTGTTCGTAATGGATGGATATACTCAAAAATTATTTAACCAATTTTTAGTGTTATTTTTAAAAAGCGACGGGATGAGAAATCAGTTTCAAATATTTTAGAAAGATTATTTAAAAAGTGCAGTGTGTACGTAAAATTATATCTCTATGATCACGTATTAAGTTAACAGTAAAATTTTAGATTTTGACAATATATTATAAAAAATAGTATTGTATCAAAATCTAACTATTAACTATTTGAAAGTTTTCTTTCGAAATATGCATCTATGTAGATACATATTTCAAAACTTCAAATAGTACCCATATTACAATATAGGTAGTAAACACTTACAACTAAGATTGTAGTTAGATTTTGGAATTACGGTACCTACGTTGTGACAGTTCTGTTCTTAAATAACTTATAATATAATCTTACAATTCTGTTACGTGTACGTAGGTAAATTTTTTTTTGTTTTGTACATTCAGTAATGCTTCCTAAAACATTATACTTAACAAAGTAGTATTTTAATAATGCTTTTATACCTAATTAAATTATCAATCTCTCTAACTAGTCTAGAATCAAGTTCAAATACTGAACTTTTTTAATGTTTTGCTGTTTTACTTATTAATTTTTAAGCCATAGACCATATGTAAATCTATTAAAATAGTTCCATACTTTTATTTATTTATACAACATATATTCTCTAACACAAAATACGTCTATGAGTAGGATAACCGCCTGTTTTACTTCGAAAGCACTGTAAAAAAATTATCGTGTAACTTTTTTAAATTAGGGTCATTAATATTAACATTAAAATAATCCTAACACAATAAAAAAAAGCTATTGAGTTATAAAATTAGCTGATTTGGCATATTATTACTGTGACGCTAGACACAATCTATAATTTTCACTTTCTAGTCTATAGTTAATGTTAGTAGTTTGCCAGTGCCAATATGTTTACTATTAATCACTTGAGTGTTTCATTGTTTCTTCTCATTCATTTAAGTGTGTTAAATTAAACTAAATGTGATACAGATACTCCTTATGAATAATGTGAATTAGAAATATTGTAAGTAAATATAACATTCATAGTAGATATATTATGGGATTGTGAACACTAAAAGTCATGACCTAATTACGGACGGAATCCAGAGAATTATTATAAAATAGTCGATTGTGTATAAAAATTTTTTAGAAACACTTTAAATGAAGTGCTATCACGTCGTAACTTGATAGCTTTGATACCCAATCTAAATTCCATAGTTACTTTTCTTCTTTGAAAATAACTCACTGCAAATTTGGATTGGACCGCAATTTTAAGTCTCTAAATAGGTATCTTAAATAAATTCATGTTTAATTTAATAAGATAAGATATTGTTAATTAATAAATATTGTACCGTATAATTAAACAAAATGTATGATAAAGTAAATTCTTTTAAAGAATAAGAAAGTAGGCTATCACATAAGCTTAGAAAAGGTAGGTAATGTATAATGGCGCCAAAATTGATAAACTAGTTATATGAGAATCTACACACTACTACATATCTTTGATATCTAGGTAGGGTCAATTACCTTCTTAACTCCTAATAATAATACTGGAGATCAATATACTTTTGCCCCTAGATTAGTTAATTATGCTTAATATCTAGCCTTATTCTCATTCTTTAATCCTTTACTGGTGCCCTTTCCGTACATTATTAGTGCAGATGGGATCACCATTCCATGATTATTTATAATCCATGGAAAAACCTACATCAACATACAATACTAATTAAACTAATAATATCAAGTTTAAATACAAATACACAAGTATTTTACGTTTTAATATTTATTTAACTTATATAAGTCTATTAATTAATAAATTATATAATAATTTAACAAAAATAATTATTTATTAAAGTATTATAAAGTAATTTTAAAAACATAATTTTTCGAAAATCGAAAACTGTTTATAAAGGCACAGGTAATTAAAATAATGTGTTGTTATGACACCTTTTCTGTATTAATAAGTATTTCCGTTTCCCTAATTGGTTAAAATACGGTTCTCATAGCTCGTGAGATTTTTAGCAATTAGGTATGTTAAGAATTTACAAAAATATTCCAAGAATGTTATTGTTTGTTTTCAGTAAATAAATACTCACGACTGGGATAAAATTTCGAATAATAACAGTCCATGTCACTCGTTAAGAAAATCACTGCATCAATATAAATTTCACTGTCAATTTGTTTACCATTCACACGCGAATTCCATTAAAAACGTTTGACATTTCATAAAATAATCTGACAAGTGACATCACTGGGCGCAGAATACGTCAAATCGCATGCAGCCACAAACGCGACTGAAGTGTATCGCGGGCGAACGATACCATACCGCGTCTTTCGAAAATTGCGCCATCCCAGTAAGCACACTCAAGCGAATTTAACAACACAAAAGCACCTTGAGCACACTTCATTACCGACAGCCTGCATAAATGCGGCCAAATCTCAAAACTAGATAATGTTTACATCGCAAAACGCCGACAGCCGAACGACCGGAAGTCGCAGAGGGGCAAACACGACAACTATGTAAAATATTGCAGGATCGCGATCGCATTGTTGACATTCCCGAATAAAATTCACCAAAATCTCGTTTTAATTGTATGAAAATAACATAAAAAGTAATTTTTACTTACCTATTATGGTGTTTGAAGGTGAAGTAAAGGGGCGAATTTTGATTAAACTATAATTTATGAGTAAATTTAAAGAATATACTCTTATTGGTATGCGAAGAATGGCACAAAGAATCTCGACAACGCACGCGACGAATGCGCACCTCGTTTGCGCATATGCTGACACAACTTCACGGACGTTACTCCCCTTGCCCCGCACTCACCCGGTTTTGTTTGATAGTGTATGTGCAGAGAGTGGTCAAACGTGAAATTGTGAGTTCGTATACACGCACACATGCAAAGATTGTACCTGCCCTAGCTACTCCCGCTTTCCGCCATCTTTGATGTGACAGAGACCGAGCATTATTCTATTTCAACATTTACGTTTCTTAGTGCCATCTGGTATTTTATTATTAGTTCGAATATGTGACAATAGATGGCGCTTTTTCGGTTTGTTGAAATAATTGATTAATTACAGTTATGATACTCATAAAGGTTCACTTCTGTTTTGTTGATATCTTGTTAGTTAAACATTATAAATGTTTTAGGTGAACTTATTTTTACTCTAATCATGAAAATAAAGTAATTATTTTACTTTTTGTGTCTGTTTACAATTTTCATGTTAGTCTCTTTTGGTAAAAAGGCAACATATGCTGCTATTCTGCAAGTACACCTAGTTTCATCTTTGTTGATGAAAATTTTATAGCACAAAATGTTAATGAAAGAGGGAGTAGATCAATGTTTATTATCGAAATATGAAGACGTATTAATATAAGTCATTTATTACGTAAAACAAACGGATTTATTAGATCCATGCACAAAATTAAATATCTAAGTTTATTTCACAATATACCTGTATAGTATATACAGTTTCCATGGAATTTAATAAAAGCGTAGCTTTCAATCGCTCTCTATATGTTTACTCTAACTTAATTGCAGATTATGAAATTACAATTAGGTTCTTAATTATCTAAAAATATCTAAAATCAGAAGAGAAACTAAATATTATGGAAAGACCGGTTTTGAAAGTAAATACTAATTTAAAGATGAATCAAAGAGCGCTCATATAGAAAAATCTATCGGTACCTAAAATATATAAAAAAATTAATAACTAACTTGTAAATAATAAAATGAGGATGACCTATAGGTATAAAAAAGCACATAGGTACCTGGTAAGTAAATTATTTACATAAAAGATAATTTTAAAAATCATAATATAGAAAATAGCTATATATACTTACGAATATGCCATCAAGGAAAATAAATAACTATTTTTTATTCCAGGTAACTATTTATTTTTCAAATATCTATTTGTATGTAGATAGGTATATATGGTTTATGTATACATATAAATAAAATTGGAGTGTCTGTATGTAATATTGAAATAACTGTTTTTTACTTCGTGCATATGTATATAGGTAAATACGGTACATATCCATATACCATAATAACATTTTTTACAAATTTTTGTCTGTCTATCAGTTTGTTCCGGCTAATTTCTGAAATGGCTGAACCGATTTTGACGGGACTTTAGCTAATGTAATAAGGCGTAACTTAGGCTACTTTTATTTAAAAAAAAGAAAGTTAAATTCCACGCGGAAAAAGTCGCTGGTACAGCTAGTTAGAAATATTACCAGATACTTCTCGGTTTTTTAAAAGAGTGTTTATATATAAATAATAGGTATTTTATAGCGAACGGTTGTAACTACTACATAACTAGGTATTACTTTGTACTTCGATAAATTCACCAATAAGAAATGAATGAAAGTTAAGAAAATTGAGATTATTTAAAGACTATAAATATTTTTTTATTCGTAGTATATTTTAGGTAATAACCAATTATTAATCAACACAGATCGTCTAAGTTAGGCTAATTGACATTAATTTATAAAACCAGTTTCACGAATCATGCATGTTGAAATTTACAGTAACAAAATTATGAAACTGTATGAGCTCGTGTCTGTTTTTTTAATTAGTAGGTAGTATGATATTAGATTTCAATAAAAAACATGTAATAAACACAACAGTTTGCATGCATGAGCAAATTAAAAATTTACATCTGCAGTTGATAAAACTAATTTCATTAAATTATTTTCTTTTTCTTAGTTTTTGTCATAACGAATGAAATGAAATTACATTAAATTACAATTTTGAAGTCTTAAAAGTCTTGTAGATTAATTGGAGTTTTTTTAAGAACATTGGCAATGAATAAATGTAGAATATCGAAGTAATCATTGACAATAAGGTGAAGTTGTACAGACAATTATAATTCTTCATTTATTTATTGAATAAAAATGACATTCTTTCTTTTCTGTGATTACTAGTCTATCCACTAATTTTATTGATTTATAACAGAAACTTATAGCACACATTTTATATAAAAAATAAAGAAGTAAGTATACATTTTGGTCTTATAAAAAATATTAATTATTATTTGTGTATATTCAAAGAACACTCAAAGACCGCAACGGTCCAGTTAGGATTCATAATTACCGAATTCAGTGCCAAAGAATGACACGCAAATGTATCTAATGAAAATCAGGAGACACATATCAATAGATCCAATTCAACCCAATTTACAAAATTGGTGTACTTTAATTGACTTAAGACTGTAAAATTACAAACTTATTCAACATTCCTGAAGTTATAGATACATAATTTGCAATGCAAAGCTTTTTTGTCTAGTTTTTGATAATATAGGTACGCAACTCAACAATTTATTGTTGATTTCCGTGTATTTTGTAGAAAGTAGATACAGTATGTATGTTAATTCTCCAACACGATGAATGATTTGAAAGAATCATCGAAAGTTAATCGTGAAACGAATCATCCTGTCTTATCTTGTATCTGCATAAAGCATTTGTGCGATTGCAAATAGGTATACAGAATTAGAGTAACATGTTAATCTAAAAGGTAATATTAATTATAACAACTATAAAACTATATATATGTATAACTATAGTTATTTATATGTATAACACGATGACTTAAATTTTTCATGAAACAGATAGAGAGTATTAGGTATGGAACATCATGAGGTTTTTAGTCCCTAAAATTCCACTTTATCTTTCCGTTAACCCTTATCTAAAATGGCCGAGTTTCTCTAGAAGATTATTTCCACATAAAAAAAGTTAATCCAACATTTGGTATTGTTGACTGTGGATAGATAACTAGACTGTCGTCAGGCGGGATTTGCCCTTCAACCCTTCCATAAGTCCTTCTGCGTATTTGGAGTGCCCTCTGCAATAAACCATGCCGTTCGGTGAACCTGTAAAGGCCAGCTGCGACCAAAATCACTAGAATAGTTACAAAAAAATAGATTCAGTAGACATAATTGCCATCTCGTCAAGTCATTCTTCGATCCTCGACTTAATTATCCAAATAGTTAATAATTAATTAATTGTGATCAGTTTGGTTAAACTATATTGCTAAATACATAATGTCCTAAAACTCTAATATGTATATATATATATATATATATATATATATATATATATATATACACAGAAATTTAATCCCAAAAGTGTTAACAACTTTCTGTATCTTTAAATTTCTACTCTATCAGTTCTACTATAGTAAGAAAATAATAATTTATATGATTTGTGTCAACATGTTATACATATAATTTATTTAATATACAAAAATTACCAAATGACTCAGGTGTACAATAACAATTTTGTATAAAATTACAACATTTTAATAATAACAATAACAAAGTAGGTTCATAACAATAAAGTCAAATCGTGTTTTATTGTAACAAACAGAGAATGATTTCTACTTATTAATGTCTATTTATCTATTTGACTAGGTATCATTAACTTATCGCTATCGCAATTAATGAAATTACTACAAAATAGAAAAATAGGTATCTTAAAAGATAGATAGAGAATTGCGTTACAGCTTGGTATAGGTATAATTCTGAAACTAAACACTTCCTTTGTGTTAATATTTATATCATTCGTGTAAAAGAAAATTTCTAAACATTTGGTTAGAAACATGTAATAAGCAACTCTATCATTTATTAAATTTGTATTCTTTCTTTGACTTACAGCACTGTCCTTAAATTATAATTCTTACTTTTTTTTGATGAGTTCTATTAAAATGCAATCCTTGTCGAAGTATTAGGTACTACCTTGCATTAGGTATTATCTTAATTAATAATAAGAAATGTATACCTAAATATTTAGAATCTTAATAAAAAGCAACAACGTAATATAAATAAATAACAGAGCGATGTAATATTTATTTACAGCATAAACAAGTAACTATTTAAATAAACCAAGTTATAAATTATCAATTAAGGAAAGCCTACTTCATTCATTTAAGGAAGAAGCAATATCAACGCAGACAATTCCTCTAGTATGAAATCTACATTGATTTCTTTGACACATAGTCCATTATTTTAATTTTTGTTCGTCACATAACAATAACAATTGCTATTTGCGTAATTATCTACTTAATTTACGCATATGATTCAAAACATTTATCAGTCACATTGGTTTTATTAATAAGTATTTTAATTGAGGTTATGCAATGGTGCTTAATTTTATAATAAATAAACTTCGCATATATACTGTATATATATATATATCATTTTTAGGTAAGATATGTTCAAGTCAATATATATATTAATATAGAACATATATAATTTTCTCCATAAATATATTGGTCCTTTAATATAAGCAAATTAATTTATAAATCGAATTAACAGTAGGTACCTATGTATAATGTAGTAGCTAAATGTTTACGGTTATAAATAGATCTTATAATAATTAAGGCAGTAGATACCTACCTTTGCCTACATTTTAGCAGTATCTATATTTAATTTATATTATTAACTTAAAGTCCACCAAATTCCGATATATGTACGAGTAGATACATGTTTTCAATTTTATAGGTATATCTTAGGGTTGCCTCTCGATCATTAAACTCCATCGAAGTTCAGCACAAGTGCAATTTTGCTATTTTAGCATCGTCCCTCTGAGACTGATGAAATATACACAAAAACAAATACACTATCAAGACTTTTATCCTAGAGAAGGTAATCACAGGCTTTGCTAATTGTCGATGTTGAGATGAACGCATCAGTTGGCATGCTCATATTTCGCTCAGTATATTTCCAATGCAAACCAAAAATGTATTCAAGAGGTACGAGCTTCATCGGACAAATTTTTGGTTTGATATCGGTCGGTCGGTCCAGAGAAAAATATAAATTAAAACACAAAGTTTTTTTATGTCGGTCGAGTAATTCAGGGTAGCAGAACACTAGGTTTACTGAATTATACAAGTGTCACATGTCAGTCTCACTATTAAAGTTATTCCCTTAGCTCAGACCTGAGTGCACAGTAATCCATTGTCGTCTGAGTAGATATAGTAATATAAAGCTTATTATATACTACTTATGAACCATGAATAAATTTATATACCTTTACAGTATATACAGAACTTATATAAGTTTGTTCGTACATTTGACAGGTAGTCATTATTTTGATGATGATTGTCATTCCCTAGAACGAATAAAATGTAGACTACCTACATATTAAAAGCATACAAATGATTAGAAATTTATGGCTCAATGAAGACATAGGCATTTCTAAATAGGCTCATAGCTCATAATAACTATTGCTTGAACATAGAGTTGGAACGAAAATCAAACTTCTTGTTTTAGATCCTTGACATTTGTAACATACGAAGGATTAATTTAATTTAACTGATATCTGATACAGAGTATTGAACCCTCAGTTTCTGAGTATTACTTGCAATGCATTTGTTTATAAGCTTATACAATCTGTGTACGAATAGAGAAATGTATATACGTGGTTCATACAGAATATAGACCAAATTGACCACAACAAAATATTTCGATCATATATAATACTGCCTATTTTTATAAAAATGATCTAATAGTGCATATTCTAGGTTAACTCTATTTACCTCAGGTCCCCTAAGAGAGACACTGAGAGGAAGAATCGCTACAATCACTGGTAGGTGCTTTTCTTATAATATACCTTAGAGTCTAGCTCAGAAATGGTATTGTTTGTTATACAATACCATACAATATGAAGAAAAATAGCTGTTTATATGAGTATTCACAATGTTATTTTTAATATACACAAACTGAAAATGTATGTAGCAATTCTGTCCTTTTTTAGATGATTATTTCCTGTTGTTGTCTAGAGGTAATTTATGTTTGCATGTGCATGTCAATGGGATGGGATGTTCCTCCTTTTTTCTCGTGTGTATCAGTATAGTACTGCACGAAATTAACATATGCTAATAGCTTTATATACCAATTAGGTAACCCATACAGAGTTTTTACAGAAATATTGTTAGTAGATTTATTTAGAGTCTCATACTTATGTTATTAATATAGTTAATCAAGTCTTAACACTACTAAGTTATACGTTTTAATACGCGTTTGAATAGATTAATGTATTTAATAATATATATTTCGTTTCAAATTAAGTCTCCATGGGTTTTGCAGCAATTAAACTAACTTCGATTTGGATTTGGAATATAAACATCGATTTATATTCCATAAAAATATTACTAATATAATATTATATCTTCGATGCAAAATTAACGAAGTAGAATGACATAGAAAAATAGGGAATCGGTGAGATAACTACACTAAAAGATCAAAATAATTAATTTATAAGTACATTACCTACTTAAAGTGGAAATGGGGAAACTGTACGAAAAAAGTAAAAACATGAAAAATTTATAAAACTAGTCACAAGGCAGAAAAATTCAGAAGGTAAACATAATTATACGAAGACAAGATACAATTATTTTCCAGAATGGCAATGCATGAAGTATAACATAGGGATCACGGGTTGACATGATATCCGTGGTGCTTCCATGAATAAAGGCTACAATACAATTACAACTTACTACCAGATGAGTTGTCAGCGTATGAGCTGTTCAACTTACATAAAATAATTTAAGATACAGAATAGCTGGACTGAAAAAAAGGTTGCGGGTGGAAACTGGGCTTACAAATACATTTAGAGAAAAATATCGAGAGCTTGAGAAACCTATACAATTTTCAAATTTTGTGTACAATAAAAATTAAATATCTACTTATGTCGGTACATTATATTTTAAGTAAACTAATAACTATACAGTGCCAATAGAGAGGCGGAAGCTAAACGAATGCGAACACCATATTCCTCAATGTCGGTTCAGACACTAATAACTATACCTTAACGTTACTTACAAATCTATGGCAGGTACAAAGGCTTCAAAGAACTTTATTTAAGGCTAGGACATCAATGGTGAAGAGTCTATCATGTGTTTTGATACAATATAGTTTGCGCACTCTTATGTTCTGATTTTCTGAATTATCAGATATTTATATTGATTCCGAATACCTATTCATTGGCTTCTTATTTTCTTATATTCACTAATATGCACGCAATAATCCCTGCAGATCAATTGAAATAAAATAATTAAAGTTTTTAAACAACCTACACTTCCTACTGAAATACTGAAAATACAAAAATAATATTTAAAGATTGTTCATAAACAACTGCCAATTTAATCACACTAAATTATATTGCAAATTATATCGACCTATGATGGATCAAATAGCTTCATTAGTATTATTTACATGGAAGTTATAACTGTAACTCTTATAAATAAATGTTTATACCTACATTTTCAGGAAGTTTCCATGAACGTGTATGAGTCTTCAAATAGCTTAACATTGTTAGTTTGTCTTGCTATGCGTGGGACACATAACTTGTAGTTGATGCAGTGGAAGATCACGCACTACCAGCGCATGGAACGCCATGTTCGCAGTCGCCAGAATGTACTCGCATACCGAGAACCATGTGAACGCTGAAAAAATAATGATAATTCTTATATAACGTCCTCATACTGCATCCTTTCATACATGAATTTATGAAATTGTTGGAGATAACATTTGCAATAATAATATAATTAATATATCGCACGCTTACCTTAATAGTAGATCGCATTAACTAAACATTACAAATATATATAGAGAAATGTACTTTAATATTTTAATAATAATATTAATTTTCCAAAATTTTTAATTTCTTAGCTAATTCAGTATTATATTAAGCGTTCGATTTTTTGTGTCTTAACAGATATCAACGTTTTAAGAAATCTAATTTTTAGTTATTTTATCATAAGTGGAGTGCTAGGTTTGAAAAAAGTCGTCGTACCCTCTGCCGTCTGACTGGAATAGGTGAGACTGAGGTGACCACAGTATTACCTATATCACCAGCATGACCTATTTCAGTCACCAAGCAGCCTTCTTTTTGGTTCATTTTGGTTCATGGGTTGAGATAAGGCAGTGAAACAGATTTGAGGTATGCAATCTTAGTCTCCGGAATCACTTGACATCACATGATCACGCAATAACCGTGGTACTCATGTACGCGTTGGTTAACTTATAATCAGATGGACCGTAAGCTCGTTTGCCATTCCAATTACAAAAAAGTGGTCGTAATTTGAGTTACTATACTTACATACATTAGCTATATAAATGCTTGTGTAATCTTTAAATATATTCTTATTAATTAATAGAATATTAATCTTACCTGTGTTAATAGTAATCGAAATGTCGGATAATAATAAAGATGTATTGCTATTATTATATAAATGCACCCAAACTTACAAATTTTGTAGTATGGATGTCAAGGGTGCTACTGGCCCAACTTTTAACACTCTTTTAGTGTTGCCATTTAACAAAACATCACGCAATGATGAACTTGATAATAAACGTTCTACAATGAAAATGTTGTAAAAACGATGATGTGATAAATTCGAAGTTTTTTTTTTCAGAGATGTTATGGGAATAGTGCAATAGTCCCTTATGCTAACGGTATGTGTTGAAGGGGTACCAGTGAAGGATGATAAGATGAGCATGAAGTCAGATCAGTTTGCCCATCGTGGTGAATTTACCAGAAATTGTCTACAATGGTCTCTAGGGGAAACGCGTGGAGGTCGACCTGACATGGTATATTGCTAGCAATGGGTAGCCCCATTCTTAGCAATCTATCTTCATTATCCTGCATTATTAACAATCTCCTACCCCCTGATAAATATAAAGTAGCGCGGGTCTGCTACAAGTTTGCAATAATTTTGGGCTGTATAATAAATCTCGAGGTATACATATTTATATGATTTAACAACAATGCCTACAGGTACTAAACATAATTATGTCCGTATACGTATACACTGAATGTATGTAAGTTAGTCACGCGAAGTTTCCTAATCGTGTTTCAGTACCTAATTAGTTAATATTTCTGTCCTGATAATGTTTCAGATTTATGCGGATATGTCAAATAAACTTTGTTATAAATTATAGTATCTTTATAATACAAATTATGAAATTCAAGTTTATTATATATATAATTAAGTTAATTCACTAAAGCATAAGTGTAAAACATCATATTAGCTTGAAATAAATAATTACCAGTGGTCTACCACTGTACTACTGAATTCGTAGAGTCGTGTGTGTGGGTATCTGTGACACTTATTTCAGAAGCGAAGCAGCATACATTGTTTTAGGGTGTAGTTAAAGTAAAATTACGGGATAGGGATAAGAAGTATGAGATCTTATCCTGTGGAATAGGGATGCGTGAGTGGTAACATAGTTGTCCCACGATAGCGTAATGTCCGTGGTGCTGTTCATTTATAGGTATAGATGACGGGTTTTAATATCAGTTGTGAGGTTATTTCCCATTCAAATTATATAAAATACATATTATTACTTCTATCAATAACTAGCTACTTCGCAGGGGTGTACATGTATTATATATATAAACCTTATTCTTGAATCACTCTATCTCTTAAAAAAACCGCTTCAGAAACTGTTGCGTAGTTTTAAAGATTTAAGCTTACATAGGGACAGACAGCAACCGGGACTTTGTTTTATACTATGTAGTGATGATAATAAACCACGTACATGCACTGAGAGGTAATTCCTAGAAATAATAATTATTTTATTGGAAAGTTCGCAAATTAAACAGCACTTACCTAAAGGTCTACAGAGCAGTCGATGTCTGAGGAAAAATATGATAAGACCGACAGTGGCTGCTATGGCCACGTAGAATAGAATCCACACAAGTTTGTTGGTCCTCACCGGTTCTACTATGTCGCTGGCGATGCCCCCCACACGTGCCCGGCATAGCATATGCAGCAGGGCGGTTATCATGAACACTATGAAGATTTTCTCATGTACGACTGGAATATATAAAAAAAGTTATGTTATCCTTCTTAATGAATAAGAATAAAAAAATGGAGAGTAAAGAATTTTTATCTCCCTCCATGTAAACAAATAGTTACTTTTTACTAATTTACAATTTTCTAGTGATAGATCATTTGAATTGTTTACATCCTATGTGTTTGTTTATTATAACCATCGAGCAAACATTGTACCCCATAGATCTGAACTAGCTTTTGGGTATCTAGAAAAATCTAAGCTTTTAACTACAGAGGGAAATAATTTAAGTAATGTGAATTATGACAATAATATAACAGGTATGTGAAGTTATACTCACAATAATTTTCTCTGTTGGATACATAAGTCACTCCAGTCAACGCGAATAACTCTATAAAATTGAGCCAATAGCAAGCTTCACCTAATTTCGTCGCTAGTACTCGAGACTGAAAATTATTCAGGTTAAGGAATGTAATTTCTTATATATATTGTAACTATGTAAAATGTACTATGTAAATATGTAAAAACCTATTTTCAAAGCTAAGTAGAGCTTGCTTTGTAAGCTGCGTTTCAATTGAACGTTAAAATTACATGGTATGGGGGTAACTCAACGAGAATGGTAACTGCGGGTTTTATACGGTGACGTGGTGCTGTTCATATATATAAACTATGATGACCACTTACCATTAGGATGAGCCGTAAGCTTGATTGTCATTCCAGTTAAATGACAACGCTTGATGTTTTTTACTTAAATATTTTTTCGTTAATATAGTCGTTATTAATCCAATCGATTTTAATTACAAAGGGATTGATTTAGCCATTTTTATTCATGGCTAACATCAGCTGTCGATACCTATTAACAACTTTCATCATATCCAATTTGACGACCTCGGTGGTCTAGCGGTCTAGCACACCGCTTTACGTCCGATAGTCGCGTGTTCGATTCCTCGCACGGCACAAACATTTGTATTCATGAGTATGATTGTTTGTATCGGTCTGGGTGTTTTCTATGTATAATATGTATGTATTTACGAAAAAAAATTGTCTATGTACACTTGTATTGGTTATCTGGTACCCGTAACACAAGCTTTAGATAGCTTTACTTGGGTTTAGATGGCGCTGTGTGAATTGTCCTGAGAAACTTTGTACTCCTTTTCACGGAAATTGGTCGGAGGAAGGAGTATGAAATTTCACGCACACTTATAGTTTATATAGAGAAGGAATGTAGCATACTAATATATATTTTTTAAATATCCATTAAATCAGTAAAAAACATTAGATACACACACTATGCTGTATTTGACACACACGCAAATTGTTTTGTTTATTGTAAATTAAGTACTGATTCTTAAATTAATTACGGTTGAATTTCGAGCACTCCATTAGTAATATTAACTATTAGATCTTAGTAACTATGTAACTACTGTGTTATGCTGTTGATTTATATAATTAGTGAATTATCTAGAAGGTCTCACCTTTTCCTCGACGATATGAGAGGTGCGTTCTTTGTGATAGTTGTAGTATAAGGAACCTATTAACAACCTTGGTCCTAAGTGGAACGCAACACATATCCGCCACACGTACCTTTGTGGGCTTATACCCGTAATCGCACTTATTGACGGCACTACATTGTATACCTGTAAATATAATAACAAAATTATTCTAGGCTAATCAGTAGTTTAATAGAAATTATAGTGTTGTCTTTTACCCGCGACACAAAAAAACAAACTTTTTGCACAAACATTAACTCTCTGTGTTTGACTTTATTTTACCCTCTTGCAGATTATGAATATATATTTTTGAAGATAAAAGATACCATATGATTTTCCTCGAGAATACACAATAGTTCTTCATGTTAAATTGCATTTAAATCCATTAGTTACATACACAACTAATGGATTACAAACAAGTACGTAATAAACAGACAGACAGACAAATAGACACAAATATACGTACGTACATACCTTCGCATAGATTAATAGCTATGGATAAATAAACCTACTTTAGAAATAAAGGCAACTAGAAATTATATAAATATTTTTTTAGATGTTGAGAAAAAGAAAAATAATATTAGTTAATTTTAACTTACCCTACAATGTGTTTCGTGTATGTCATCTGCTTGAAATATTGACGCTGTCACGTAACAAAATATTAAAGCACCAAGTGGAAGCCAGAGGGCAGTTAAACAAATCTGTCGGAGACCACATGACCATAGCAGTCCCTGTATCAAATATTATATATTACCAAATTTTATTTCTTTAAAAAATCGATGTTAAACGTGTATCTTTTGAAGCTTAATATTTAATAATAAATTAATAAGAGTAAATATTTTATAGCATAGGTAGATTACACTGTATCTTTATAGAGGACTATCTTTTACCGTATAACGGCATTGCATGTTTTTTTTAAGTTAAAAAATCGCATATGTCCGTATGTGATATTATACAATCGCATCACATTTCATTAAGACCTTCCTGCTGTTTAGTCGTAAATAGGTAACAAATTGAATGGCATACAAACATACTTTTTCATCTATGATATTGTTACGGAATAGACAATTACAACATGTTCCGTAAAAAACGTTAAAATATAGACTATTTATATTACTGTCAGCTTCTACCCATAACTTCTTTCGTGTAACCAAGATTGATCGCGATAAATAGTATGGAGAAGTTCCATGCCAAATGGTAACTATTAAATTTAAAAATAAAAAAGATGCGATGGAATAGCATAAATATAATAATCTCACTTTTGTTTTAATAAAATCTATAATAAAAAATATCTAAATATACTTATTGATTTCAATGCTTTAATATTTTAGCTTCATTTATCTATGGACCATTATCTGCTTCTAGATGCAGGTACATATACACTCACCTTGTATTCTAATATTTTGACACTCCTATTTACATTGCACGCGACGCTTGTGCGGTTAATATCTTCACGCACAACCAAATCTGGTGGCGACTGTACTTGTGCGTCATTTACCATTTTATCACTCACGCTGCACTATCGATACAATCTTCACATTCTACAAATTTTCTCTCACCTTACGTTTATTGACAGAATCAAGCGTAAAATTATCCCAGTGGGGTCACGCGTTTCCATAAGGAATTGTCACCTATCTCTTACAATATTTTCGTAATGTATATTAGACAACAAATCAACACTGTAATAAATTCCTTTGTGCTTAATACACGGGTGGTTTTTGTTAATAAAATACAATGACAAAATGCGTGTGGATGACCTGAGGCGTGGATTGAATGAGGTTATTCGGACTTGCGCATTGAGCGCTTCAGGAGGGGTGCATTTGCGAGTAAGGTGTAACCTCGCCTTTAGAATTACGCTAATGTTTATTTTAAGGAATGACAAGTTCTATTAGTACATTAGAATTCAGTGAATGATATAAAGAGAAAATATAACTTGACGCTTCCATAATTACACATTAACTATATACAAAACTGATACAATGCCTATACATATAGTTACGGACTATAATGCACCATCCTATAAATTCTCTGTTGGCCTATCGTTGACTAATAAACAAAGCCGTACCTGGATGCTCCTTTCTACAATTAGATACAGTTCTAGTGATAAGTCTCAAAATCTATTATTCGGTACCTAAGTATACACTTAGGTACCGAATAATAATGGCACCCCCATTTTTTTTGTTAAAATAATGTAAACATATGTTTACGTTATTTTAACTGTATCAAAATTTAAAACATTAACTTAATAATTTAATCATGAGTGTAAGGGGCTTGTTGGTAACAGGGCAGTGGGGACTAATGGCACCCCCATTTTTTTTTGTGTATGATAATGGATTGGTGCACCCGCCTGCGCTAACGGTTTACGCTGGCAGGGCACCAGTGGAGAATGATACGATGAACATGAGGTCAGTTCAGTTAGCCCAACGTGACAAATTCACCAGGAATTTATCACGTTGGTTTCCAGGGGGAACTGCGTGGAGGTCGACCTAACATGGTACATTGCTAGCAATGGAAAAAATCGAGTCACGAAAATATGACCAAAACGAAGACGCAAAATGTCCGGCTATTTGAAAAGAGTTTAGTGCCCAAAATACCTATTGACGATTTATATGCAGATAGTAACGCAATACGTATAGATGTATGGAACGGTATTCCATTGTAACGATAAATATAATCAATAAAATTTATGGAAACCTGAGGAAGTTACAAAAATTATGAAACTTGTTGAAATTTATTTTAAATCCCCATCCAAGTTTTCAGCTAACCTAATAACTATCAAGAAGGTAATCGGTCCTGAGATGTCACATGATCCTTTGAGCCGGATATGAACTAGCCATATAGATTTACAGCTCGAGAAATTTAATAGAAAAATTCTAGATATTTGTGAAGTTCTGATTCAAATAAGCCAATGAGTATGTATATTCTTAAAAGTTCCAAAATTATAAATCAAATAGTTTACCTTCACATATTTTTGAACTCATATTAGCAAATAAATATAAAAATAATAATACCCGAGAATAATTTTAAGAAGATACTATAATTAACTATATATAAATACGTCTATATATATAATTTGTTTGTGTGTGTGTTTGTGAACTCGTGGTGAAATAAAATCAAGACGTACGACGTAAATGAAGTATTTACATACATTAGTACATTACTTAGTTTCAATATCTTTCGGAATGATTTTCTATCAGTGTATTATATTTTTTATCTATGTTACAGAACTAATAAATAATTTTCTATATATAGTTTTGTTTCGCCATTCTTATACCTAATCCTTCACAATCTACATAAAATAATATGCAGTGTTACATATCTTATCCAAAATATATAATAGTTACAAAATTTAGCAAGCGTTACAGAATATTAAAATAAATTTTATCATTGCTTATATTTCGCTCATTATGCACAGTGAAAACTGGATTAATTTAATTTTAGTTTTTTACAGATCACAGAGACTGACAAATTTGACATCTGACAGCCTGACATTGACGCATCTGTCACAGTTTTTTGTATTGTTTGTAAATTTCTTGTTAGTGTATAAAAAATGTGAAGCAGAAATTTGTGCATTGTAGTATTTTAAACCATTATAATGTATTTTTTTAAATGAAGCATATGTTTTTTCAGTGCTTGTTAGGCGTGTAATAGTGTAAAGATGAAGTTCATAAGGATTCTATGGGTATTCTGTTGGTGTAGTATTGAAATTCACGGGACAACGCACTGGATGGTTACTGAAAGTGGTTTGATTCAACCCAGGGTAAGATAACAGTTTCCTGTTCAATGAATGATACTGTTGCTAATAACTATGTATTAAATATAATATGAATTGAGATTTCATTACATCATTAATTAATTAATTTTTTTTAAAACAAAGACGATAATAGAGCTTTTGTATATTTTTGCTTCTGTAATTATAAACGTTGTTATTTAGATTGAAATTTATTTTAAGGTTGACTCACCATTTGAGATGGTAAATCCGCATGATTTATTAGCGTTTCTGAATCAAGACACACGCTGGGACAATATAATAAATTTGTACCAGGAACTTTTTTTGCGACAGAAACTAATTAATAAATTATGGAAGGAAGTAGAGACAGGTATTGATGTAGATACACTACTGTCCATAGATCCAAATTGTATCAAAGCTGAACCACTAGATTCTATAGATTGGTATGGAACTGTTTTGGAAGATAGTCAAACCAAATACATTGTTGAGAAAGAACTTTCACATTACTATCCTGCAAACAATAAAAACATAGATGTACCAGATTGTAAGAAAATATCTTCATTGACTTTTAGTATGTTTGCATTTGAGCATTTAGAGGTAAATATTGTTATTATGTTGATTTTACTAATTGTTTTCTATTTATTTGACCTGCGCAATACTAACACTATTTTACTTCTCAGTAATTTTCATATTTGCGCTCACTGACACAATTTATTAATAACTTATGTTTTATATAAATATATGACACATCACATATAATAACAAACTGCATTAACTGAACTTTAACCTATGGATGCCTGAAACACCCTAGGGTCCCCATATGCATTTGCACAGCTATTCATATAAATAAAATTGGAACGTCTGATTGTTATATTGAAATAACCGTTTGTTTGTAACATGCATATGAATATAAATACAGTACATACACAAAAATAACATTTTTTACAATTTTTGTCTGTTTGATCCGGGTAAGCTCTGAAGGTAAGGCTGGACCGATTTGATAGGGCTTTTTTTTTGGCAGGTAGCTCATGTAATAAGGAGTAACTTAGGCTACTTTTATTTTAGAAAAATAAAGTTAATTTTCACATGGACGGAGTCATGGGAACAGCTAGTTATTAATATAATAATAATAAACACTCATGGATTGAGCATACTAGATTTTTAATTGTTTATAGGCACATGCTTTTAGTAGTGTTATGATTATTGATGTCACATAATGAAAATTATTTGTATGTCTTGGCTATAATATTACACTATAATTTACAATCCTGACTTAGACAGAAAGGTAGGGAGTTCAAATTTGGACACCAAAGAAACTTGAGTGTCAATTTATATCCAGTGGTTGTAGTACCATGCAAATGCAAGACCACCTCTTGCAGTAGTATTGCCATATGAAGTATTGCTTTCAACTTTGTCGTCAGTTGACAATGTTGCTAACTTATTATGGTTAATAGTTTTGAAGTTATATTATTATTACCTGATTTTAGGGTATGATACACAGAGAAAATTTGTCTTCTAATGTTGCATTGTTATTACCTGAACAAATAGAAACTGTTATGACTGATGAACAGTTAGGAGACTGGGCAGCAACTACACTTCGTAAAAATAGTTCTTCCTGGCTACATTACAATGTGGCTTCATTGTATTGGAGAATAAAGGGAAAGGCTCCAAAAGCTTTAGAGTGCAGTCGTCGAGCTGTACATTATGCACCAAGGTATAATAAGCACACATATGTATCATACTTTTTATTTGCTGATTATATGAAATAAAAATTAATATTAACAATGAAATAGGCAATTTTTTTATTTAGCCATGTAATATTATAAATGCGGAAGTGTGTGTCCATCAGTGTGGTGCTTGTCTTTTGTAAATGTGAATTGAAGAATATTCTTTGCAATTAGCCATTGTATTGAAGAGCGGAGACTACTAAAGTAGCCAGCCAAACTCCTTAGAAGCGTTGGAGCATCCTGGTATCTTCACAGGCTTCACGGAGCACTCTTATCATTCTGAGGATTTGTGTGCGTTGTGTGGCCACCGAACGCACTCTAAATGTGAATGACCGTTTTTTTCAGCTTTGAAGCAGCCTCGACAAACAGTACTGTCTGTAGTACTTATTGTGTGCAAGTATTTGTTTAAGGAACAATAGTCCATTATTGTGAGGTTTTGCCTGTTTATCTTAAATTGTAGGCAACAAGTGAAACTAAACAGGCACAATTAAATGGCAGAATGGGGCTTAATGATATTTGGCGTGCATATTAGTCTTCATGAAAATTTAATTAAAGTACAGTCAGCTGATTAATTGGTAAAATGTGACAAACAGAGATATATTTGTATTTGAAATATATAATAATAATATGAATTTTAGGAAATGAGGAATATTACTTCCTTAACTTATTTGTAACTTCATTTCAGGATTTATAAAGACATAGCTCTACTCAGTCTTGGTTCGATACTCCACCTTAGTAGAAAAACAGAAGATGCTGTGACAATCCTTAGTGCGGCTGTTGAGCATGATCCATTGTGCCCCTTCAATCATTTCGTTCTCGCCAATGCTTATGCTGTCATCGGAGATTTTAAAAGTTCATTAAAACATTTGGACTTATGCCTTAAGCTGAATCCAGCATTTCATTTGGCTCGAACGCATAAATATGGTGCTCTGTGTCATGCCAAACTGGTGGAGACATTGAAAAAAGTCAAAGAGTAAGTTTCACAAAAATGTGTGTATGTATACCGGACGACTTTATTCAATACTAGATACTCGACCCGGCCTCGTACGGGTGTACCTGTATTATATATATATATGTATAAACCGTCCTTTTGAATCACTACCTTTAAAATTTAAAAACCGCTTCAAAATCCGTTGCGTAGTTTTAAAGATTTAAGCATACATAGGGAATAGACATCTACACCGACTTTGTTTTATACTATGCAATAATGATAATGTTGATGATTAGAAAATTAGACGGGGATCAGGGAATCAAAATCACGACGTTTTGAGCCAAGATTCGTATCTCTGATGGTGACCTCAGATTGAAATTGTATTCGTCACACAGGAGTTTGCCTTCAGCCACTACATAAATTCTTCCGTGGATTCTCAATGCACCCAGCACTCGCCCCCTTTTTGGCCCAGTGAAGCTGTAAAGCTGGCTACGGCCAACGGTATTAGATGTGTTAGAAAAAATGCTATATGAAGTAGCAGCACTAAACATAATTTACACTGTGTGCGCTTTAGCATGGTGCGGGTGACAGTTACTAATTTTACACTTAACAATTGCTACATTTAAGTTAATACAGTTATTAATGATTTAATATAGGTACAGCAAAAATACTAAGTGATAATTTGTAAATCGCGGCAACTTTTAAGAGTGAAATGAAACTGTCACCCGCACCATGCTACAGCGCACATGGTATAACTTCAATTACAATCACGATTAATTGATTTCGATTTTCATTGAAAATACTATATAGTTATGATACGTTACAGTATAGGGACATAGTCACAAAACGACCGCTACACAAACGCTCCCAGCATCCGTTTAACATGAGAGCATTCGGCGAACTTCAGGTCTACTCAAGGATTTAATATCAATGTCGATTCCAATCCAACCTAATTTTTTACTGTTCTTTTGAAGCATTATACACGTAAATAGCAAAATTGAACCGAATGAATAGACAACAATATAGTTTGGTTCTTTTGTTAAACGCAAAATGTGGATTAACTATCCACATTTTGCGTTTAACAAAAGAACTTTTAAACTTTCGTGTTTAATATACATTATTTAAATTATTAACGGGTGTTAAGACCCGGTTAATAATTTAAATAACAAAATGTGGAATTAGTAGGTTGCTGTAATGCAGGTGTATAAAAGTTGCTAGACTGCGGTATCCAAAGTCATCACGTCAATTTCAGTGTAGATCGGTAGGTTTAACTTTGTCTTTTAGCATTTGTGTCATCGCCTTAGGTTTAACTATGTCTTTTAGCATTTATGTCCTATATACAACGATTTGTACTTATGTAGGTATCGGCCGTACCTACACAAAGCTCCCAGCATCCGTTTGTATGAGAGCATTCGGCGAACTCAATGACAAAGGATTTAATATCAATGTTTTTGTTTTTAATTGTTCTTTTGAATATTATAAAAATATATGTTTATCAATAATAACAACAATATAGTTTGGTTCTTTTTTAAATAAAAAATTGGATTAAATATTATATAATAGAACCCTCCTCCAAATAAATAAAATAACACCTTCATGTACCCGGTTAATAATTTATAACAAATGTGGAATTTTTTTCATGCAGGTGAATTAACATAGTCATCACGTATATAAAATAGTAATTGTTTATAAATCTATGTCATTTTTTAAATGTCTTTTAATAGTTATATAGTATTATAAATATTTATTAATATAAATATGGATTTATGAAAAGGAAAATCTGTTTTTGTGGTTAATTGTCAATATTCTAAAAATATGTGTTTATCAATAATTAATTCTAAGTATTTTAAATAAAAACTTTTAATATTATATAATAGCCCTCCGCCAAATAAATAAAATAACACCTTCAGGTACCCGCCATATGCCAAATTTTTTTCACAGAATTAACATAGTCATCCGGTATATAAAATAGTATTGTTTATAAATCTATGTTTTTTTTAAATTTCAATAATAGTTTTAGTATTATAAATATTTATTAATATAAATATGGATTTATAATAGTAAAACTTTTAATCATAAGAATATTACCTACAATTAATCCATTTTGACTATTGAACTTTTTTTTCCTCTTTTTGATATAAAATATAATATAATATCGGAAAAAAGGCTACATATTGTATCAAACACTATTAAAACCTCTATTTAGCGATAATGCAGCCCATTGTTACCTCTATATTGTAATTATGATGTTTTTTTACATTTGCTATATACCAAATGTAAAAAACATCATAATTACAAAGAAAAGAAAATAACAATTACATAAATTAATGTACATATTAATTTATGTAATTGTTATTTTATTTCTGTGAGAGGAACAATAAAGAGTTTTTCATTAATTCTAACACTTGTGGTTTTATTTAGTAGGTATACATAGATGATAGATATGTTGTGACAATGATGATGATATAAATATAATTTCAGGACAATGGCAGCACTTCGAGTAGAGTTGAAAGAATTTTACGGCCGAGAATTACATTGGCTAAAGTCTCACGTTGCTTTTTTGAGGACAAGGATACATGATGAAGAGTTCGGTAAGTAAAATAACCTAAATTATTATGACTTATGACTATGACATATGCATTTGAGTTTTTCATATTTTTATTTTTGGAAAATTGACAATTTAAAATTATTTATTTCGATAACATAACAATTACTTTATTATAGTTGATGGAGCCTCCTTTTAAGCAAACAAAATGCTTGCGCAAGCAGGCTCCACTCTTCCATAGCTTATTTTATAAGGATTTAAACTATTCTAAATTATTATATGACAGAGAATATGCGCGAGTTGCAATTACAAGTAAATTGTTTGGTTAATCTTTTGAAGACAAGACTTCAACTAGGAATTTTCCCAGAAAGTGAAGTCTGATATTGCACTAACTTTTCAATGTTATAACATCTTTCGTTCAATTTTCAAATAATAACTATTTTTATTACATTATTATTTTATTATTGTATTTCAGATTATAGTAACGTTGAAAAGAACTGTGAGAAAATATCAGAGTTAACTGGCCTTAATATTAAGCAGTTGAAGAAACAGGGTGATAAAAATTATATAATGAAGTATTTCCTCGATGGTACTGACTACAAAGCACCAGAGGAAAAGGGTACATTAGCTATAGAATGGGCACATAGTTTGAAACGGTGGTTAAAACATGTCGAGAATCGTGCCAAACTGGAACCAACCTTAAAACAGAAACGATCAAAATTATCAGAAGTTAATATAAAGAAAGGAATTGGCTCTGTACTTGTGTTTTCTAATGGAGAAAATAATGCAAAAGGTATAATTTTAATTGTGCCAATAATATTATACTTAAAAAAATATATTCCGCCAAACAGCTTGCATCGTAAGCTGTGTTAAATAGTGGCTTTACACTGAGGAAAGCAGGCATGCTCATGTAGACAAAGATCACGCGCCTCACTAGCTTGTGTATTCCTGCACAATCGTACGTCCTTTTACGCCTCTTTATAATAATTATCATTGCAAAATTGCGGATATCTAACTATGGAGTAAACACATAATTCTAGAGTTATTGCATTAAGCATGCATGCATTAAGCAGTTTGTTTTGTTAGCTGGGTTTCGGTTGAAGGGCGATATTATAGGCTCAGAGGCATAGCATCTGAGTCCTCTTGAATGAATTATTACGTATTTATATCATATGATAACGTAACGTGCTGTCTGTACTGCTGTTCATGTATATAGACGACGCCTATCACTTAGCATCAGGAAGACTATCAGCTTGTTGGTCATTCTAAAGATTTAAAAATCCACTTAAAATTGTTATTTTTTTTTACTTACTAAATATATTTACAGATGCAGTCTTCAGAGAGAGGTCCATTGAACAAAAATCTTCAGGTAGTCGTTCCAAAAATTTAGAATTTAAACGAGGTCCCTTATTGTGAGTAAATAAACTATCGGTTTTTAGATAATATTAAATGCAGTGATTATTGAGATTTATTTATTTTTATTAATTTGTTACTTTTGTGATTACAATCAAACAGAATTTAATTGTGGTTGAATAATGAGTAAGAGAATTATTGTGCTATTTTCATAAAGTGATCGACGTCACAATCGTCTTAACTTTATAATCCATGCTAATATTATAAATACGGATAATGTCTGTACGTCTCTGTGTCTATCCGTCTGTCTGTTTCTTTCGAATAAACGGCTAAAATATTTTTACAGAAATTTGATATGAAAATGCTTTGTATCATGATGATGAACATAAGCTATCTATTATTAAAAAATAATGCTCTGGAAGAGAGCATTATTTTTTAATGTAATTTAATGTGTGTGAAATAAGGGATGAATGTTTGTGCAGACAAAGTCGCGGGTAACAGGTTGTCGTCAGATGTCTGATTTTGTTTAGTAGCATCATTTCACTTTTTTTAATTCCAGGTACCCACCTACATTGAAAATTGATAGGAATATAGAAGACTTCGATAGGGAACCAGACTGGCCATCAAATAAAGTATGCAAAAATACTGCTGCAAATATTCCTGATAAATTAGATGCTATTTTTCCGGTATTTTTACCATTCGAAAACAAGGGTTTAAGGTAAATAATACGCAAAGAGATTGCACGCTAATAAGTAATAATCATAAATTTAGTGACTGTATTTATGTACTCCTTGTGATAGTCCATGATGCATATGATTGTTCTATGTATACAAGTGTATGTATTATACATTTTAATGATGCGTATACGCTCATGCAACATTTTTTGATATTTAATAGAATGCTCAGAGTAAACCTCAAGTCGTCGTATAGTCGAATGTTTAGTAATTAATAATGATTTTTTTTTAAATAAATTAAAATAGTTAGGTATATATAAAGGTGTGGTATAAAATATGTTTAGGTGTAGCTATATCGTGTTTACGGTAAATCGTCGAAGCTCAAAAATCACTGCGATTTTGGTATTGTTTCGTTTTAGACTCTAATGAGATAATCGGAATCTTGATATATTTTTTTTTGTGATTTTTACATTTCTACAGTTTTTCAATTTGCATTATATAGTGATCGTAAATAATTGTAATATTTACAGCATGACAGAGTTGTTAACTGATAAAATAGGGGTGCCGGCGAACGTGGAGCACGATGTCCCGTGGCACCCTCCTATTTGCCCCCAGGACAAGGACTCTGCAGCGTTTATTGGGAAGAAATCGCAAAAGTATGTATTGTGTATGTTAATTTTTTTTTACATAAACATTTGTACTATATTACTGAAATAAGATCACATTCACAAAAGTATAAATCTATTTTGCGAATATCGATTACTGTATATATTAAGTTTATATAAAGAAAGAATGAAAATAATTTTGTGTCAACTATAACTAATTATATGAATTTGTATTACATACATACAAATTCGTATTATTAGCTATAGTTCTATGTTTTTATGTTCTTTACCCATTGGGATTTTGAGATTGGTCTTAGTATAGTTTAAACAGTGTAACTTTTGTGTGTACTGTACATGTTTTAATACTGTAAAATACATTTGTTTATTATATTAATTACTATCATATATATGTGGGTTATTGTATTTTAATCTCACGTGAAAAATAGATTCTCAGACCTACTGAATGTGCATATAAATTTCATAAAAATCCGTAGAGCCGTTTCGAGGGGTTATAATAACTAACATTGTGACACGAGAATTTTATATATAAGATGTTATTTTTAATTTAAGGCAACAGATGGTCACCGAAGTGCGAAACGCAAAATATCTAAGGCAGAAGCTCCTTGAATACGTGGGTGACGGCGATGTAGAAATTGTGAAACGCATGCAAGACGCCGAAATCGGTCAACGTATATACGCTGCCATGGATATGGTAACATAATATATTTTTTTTTACATATAAAACTTTTTATCGTTGAATTAATTTGCATACGTTCACTTAACAATAATTACTCTATGAAAAAATGTTAATAAATATAATATTTAATACTGTCTGTGTAGGTGCCAAATTGCATCCAAGCACTGAACCGATTAAACGATTAAATGATTATTACTAACTTAAAATATAATGAAATAAATGGCCTCTTAAAATGCAATAAAAAACTAAAGTACTATAATTGTCCTGATTATAGCTGTCATTAACAATGTCAGTATGGAGTATTAAACTTTTTTTTAATCAATCTCTATACATAGACAAAATATATGTAGAGAATTGGAGTATTAAGTAACAAATCATGTACACACACATGGTTTTATTATGAAATTGGTAATTGAAAACCTTACCTTTTGGTAAGTGATAATCTTCCCCTATCCTATATACATGAATAGTTCTGCGGACGTCACGTTGCTATTTTCGAAGGACTAAAATGTCACGCCTGGTATCTTGTACTTTCACTGCCTTGTGTCCCATTCTTCAACTAAAACACAACTTGGAACCTGCATGGTGGCTGGAATAAATAGACAGAGGTAGATCGAATTTTTATGAAATAATAGCGTTACCATCTCTATTTTCTTAGGAATTAGCACCAAAATGGGTTACATATACTCTGGCTTCATTATACTGGCGGGTGCGAGGCAATAATGCGAACGCTCTCAACTGCCTCCTGACAGCGAATAAAATAGTAGAACAGAAATATAAGGACATAGTGCTAGTGCCATTGGCTTCTTTATATATAGAGATGGGGTATTTTGATGATGCTCTGAATGCGGCCGAAGCGGCGTTCAAAATTAACTTATATGAGGTAAAACTATACCTAATCTATTTTATTATATTTTTCGTAATAACGTGTTAGTGAAGAAATAGTTAGATAATATTTTTTATTTGTATCTTAGTACACACATATAACCTTAATTATAACATTACATAACATGTATAACAACCCAGTAAGGGTAAACCTGCATGTGTGTGCCACAGCATACAGAACTGGCACATAGCTCAGTGTGGAATCACTCAAGAAGCAAAACATTGATTTTCAGCTATGTCCTCGAGGGTGAATAATGCACTTTTATTTTTTTAAACAAAAATAAACTAAACTACATAATATGAAATGATATCTACTACATCTATTACATACTATTACTTCATGTTCGCGTAGCATTTATTATTTTTCGGTTGTTGTGATATTACTTTTATGTAATTGTAATATCACAACAATCGAAATATCGACGAATCGAACAATCGACGTTGTCACGTGATGCCCATGATGTTATTTTTTTGATGGATTTATTTTAAAGCTGACCCATGCAATGTCGATTGCATCATATTTTTACAGTTTTTGCAAAAAATTCATTTAAGTTTATTTTTTCCCCTTCTATTGTTTGTAGCAAACAAAAAAATATAGAAAGGATGCTATTATATATTTTATCTAACTTTTCTACAGCCTGCGACCAATTTTTTACTAGCAGAGCTGAATATGCTCAAGAAACATAGGAATACGCACATGTTCCACTTAAAACAAGTAATACGCCTGGAGCCAAGTTTCATGGACGGACTCGCTCGCAATCTGCTCAATGGATGGGCATGCATACTTAAAGAAATCCATTCAGTACAGGAATTAGGTATGTATGGTCAATATTGTAACAGTCTTCAAAAAATCACTTGGTTGAGTTCTATATTTAGCTCCAAAGCAATTTATTATTAACATTATGCTAATAGTTATTTATTTTTATTTTTTATTTGAAACAGAAATTTTGTATATTTTACATTAAACAAGACCTGGAATTGTAAAATTAGCAATGCATTTTTGAATAATTTTGAGTAACCTTTGTCGCGCTATTACAATTATTGTTTATTATTATTATATTTATTTGTATAAAAGTGTGTAAATTGTTAATAATTTGTTTATAGTACATTTAATAAATTGTTTCTTTGAATAATTCTTCTAATACATGTGCAATATATCTTGGAAATTTTTTTCCCTATTTTTATGCTCATATTTTTTTATCTTCTTCATTTATTTCGTTCTCTTTGTTTCCTAAATCATTATATAACATTCAAAGGTGGATTTGTATACAAATAAAGGCGATTTCCACGAGTTTCACATATGGTTATGAATTAAGTATAGTAGTGAACATTATACAATTAACACTCCGTTTTTTTTTTGAGTTGGCAACGTTTTTTTGTAAAATGAATATATGTAATGGTTCTTAAGACAAAACCAATCAAAACCATCAAGCTTTTACACATTACACAAAAAAATGTTTTATTTTAATTAAGGCAGACGTTCATATGCGGATAAAATTTTCAAAATGAATCTACAATTGCATGTAAATATGCCGAACTGAAAAACATGTTGTACAAGTCCATACAAAAAATATTTTATTTTTATTGACGTAGTTAGTCTGGTGGTAAGAATATTTATTTTTTCTTTCCAGAACAAAAAGACGGTGATTCTTGTACGCAAGTGGAGCCAGGCATGAGTATGGTGTGTGAGAAAGGCGGCATTAATTGCCACATGACAAATGTACAGTGTATCAATAGTCAAGAGAGAGGTAGCATGATTTTATTGACAAACTAGCGACCCGACCTGGTTTCACCCGTTATTTTTATGTAAACATCCTTCTATTAATTTAGCTTGTTATGTGTTCTGTAGTGTTCTTACTTTTTATGTTTTTTTGTATAAGCATACCAAATATTTTTTTTATTTTTTATATTTTTTTCTATGTTATATTTGTAATGTTAATATTAATACCATTATTATTAATGGATTGACTATAATATATGTGAAATTAGAGTTAGACATAATATTGATTTAACGCTGATTTGAATGTTATAAAATAACATTGCAGTTGGGAACTGAAATATTGTTAAAAGCGTAATGATGAGGCTTAATTATTACTGTAGTAAAATATGTGTAATACTGCATCAGATTCCATATATTTCCTATAACAAAAGTGTAATTAACATTATAAGAGTAAGCTTGCTTAATTTCCATAAATCATTTCAATGCATAACGGGTCATACAAAAGTTATACATTAAAGAGTCGACGAAGTGTGATATGGTGAGAGGAATAATAAACTTCGTGGGGTCACATTTCAAAATATACATTTTATATAGAAATATAATTATTTCGTAACTGCTGTTACGACCCTGTCGTAAGCAATGTTGCAAGCAAAAATATTTAAAAACTCAGGATTGAAAATTCAATAAACCAGGACTATTCAGTTTAAAAACACAACGCTGTAGTAGTATTGCAATAGTTATATTAATATGTAGTAAAATTCCAGTAATTAAAATAATCAGGTTTTTAATAAAAAGCATTTGATAAAATTGTACTGTTGACAGTAATTAAGAGGCGCGCATATTTTAAAAACCCAGGACGATGCCAAATTCAGGACTTCCCAGGACACTTCAAAAACTAGGACATGTCCTGGGAAAATAGGACGGTTGGCAACTCTATGTTATGATAACCATTACTATATGTAAAATTGTAAAGTATGTGACTTTATGCTAGAGAGGGGAAATCTCACAAATGTGACCATCTATGAGTAGGAAGGAGGTAAGGCTTGTAAAAATAATGTAATTAATGTGATCTAATTTATTGATTGCCCCAAATTGGCATAATAATATTAATAGTATTGTGTAGCTGCCGTCATTAATAAGAAACATCAGTTTAAGATAATTATAGTGTTGTCGCTTTAATAATGTACCGTGAGTGATCAAACGGCAGTGAAACTCGTCTTCATAAGGTATATTCATAATGTAACAACGAAATGGTTAGGGCTTCGGGGATTCCTTTTGCCCCTGAAATCGGGGGTAACTCCAATGGGATGATGTCCTTTACTTATTACGATTATTTAATCGTACTATGGCGGCGTTCAATCCCTGTCGACAGAAAGCAGCACACTCCTTCGAATGCTTGAACTAAAAGATGACAACGTAAAACGGCCATCTGATAAAATGGACGATAGCATATTCGACGATTTCATAGACAACATGCCCCCTCAGCGAACTATGAAACGGGCGCATGAGGTAAATTATGAGACAATGATGCAAGTTGTGGGCACCGCTTTACAGGGATGCGGTCCCAGAGGTTGTAATGGTGAGTCTACAAATAATATATTATTAACCTATAGATATATTTTTAATGAATGATAATGAAATGGTGCGTCAGCTTGTGCTAACTGTATACGTTGGCAGGGCACCAGTGGAGAATGATAGTATGAGTCTGAGGCCAGGTCGGTTACAACAAACAAATACAAATTCACCAGGAAATTATCATGATGGTATCCCAGGAGGAACCCCGTGTCAACCTTACATGTTATATTGCTAGCAATGTGGTTATTAATATATATTACTAACAATCTCTTTTCCTCCTATTAACCTATTTCCATCCATTTTTTTCTATAACCTCTATTATATGGTCTCGCAAGTTAGCACACTGCCTTACTTTCTATGGTTGCTGGTTCGATTCCTGCCACGATACACACATTTATATTCATGACTATGACAGTTTGATTCATGAATAAGACGGTATGTTTAACCACTAAACCACCGAGGCCGTCATTATTAAATATATGTATTTAATGAGTTCTTATTATATTTAACAGATATACAACCAGACGATTTAGCAATGAAAGAAGAGGACTGCACACATCAGCAATTACAGCTCGGATATTGGTTGCATATTTTTTGTTTCAAGCAGTTATTTACTGATGCCAATTTGAAGTGAGTGCTGTACATGCTTTTGTAATCTATGCATTATAATCAAAATCTTACTGTTCGCAGTCTGTACATAGAATATATATTAGAAAAACTATTAATGGGAGACTTTGTTAGGGTAATATAACCCAAATCAATGATTATTATATTTTTTGGTTTTGTTTTTTGCGCTCTTATGTCAAATGATTAAACTGATATCCTTACTAATATTATAAATGTGAAAGTAACTCTGTCTGTCTGTCTCGCTTTCACGACGAAACCACTGAACCGATTTAAATGAAATTTGGTACACAGATAGTCTAGAAGTAATTAAAAAGTAGCCTATATACTTTTTAATGCGAAAATAGGGTTGAAAGGGGAGATTAAAGGTTATATGGAAGTATCGTCATGTTACGCGGATGAATAGCAGCTAATAATAGAATAATAGAAACAGCTAGTATACTGTATGAACATATATAATAAATGGAATAGTGTGATAATACTATTACACGATTTTATGGTTTACGTTTACGATTATATGCAATGGACGTGTATAATAAGATCTTCATCGTCAACGGAATATTAAACGGGTAGCTGTAAGGTCCTAGCATATAGAACAGTGTTACGATAAATTATAAAGGAGCGCAATTATTCTCGAAATTTCATTTGTTTTTTCCTTTAATTTTTCAATCAACTTCAAAACAAGTCAAAATGTTAATCGGTACTTTTTACTACGTAAACAGATTCTGATGGTTATAATTTTATTTTAAAGCTGCATGCCATGTGGTGTCATATAAATTGGATCAGCATTTCATCGCTAGGTTATGGGTGATAAATGTCTGTTTTATCATTAAATGAAATTATACGTGAAGATATACTATACACTCACGTAGACGGAGATAGACTATATCGAAAAATAATGTGTAAATAAGAGACTACATTAGGGATGACAGCCATTCTACTTATATGTATATTATTCTATATGTCAATAAAAACATAATTTTATTTCAGATTTCCAGCGGAGATTACGACTATGAACCCATCAAGTAAGAAGATTCCAGAATGCCGTCTGTTTGAGCCGTCTGAAGATTTTTACTTGGACCGCTTGAGCCGCGTGGACACAGATGGCTGGGAGCCGCTGCTCACACTCATGCACCAGTTCGCTGAGATGTTCAATTTTCACGATTTTGTCACGCTCGGCTCAAAGATTGCTAGATACGTTGACTCTGTAAGTGCAACAAACAACAGATATTACTTGTAAGTGTATTATAGAATGTGTGGTAATTTGTAGAGATGTTTAGATGTTCGTTACTCTACAACTTATGTTCGACTAAACGGATTTTGACATTTGATTTGAGTCGAATGAAATATAATATGTAATAATATATTTGAAATATAATAGTAGTTAATTGTTGTGTAATAAAATAAATCTCTGATCAGCTATAGATTATAATCTATATAGCTAAAATTATCCATCATTATGTATCCTCTTTCAGCTAATAGAAATAACGGATGACCTTGAAGATTTTAATAATCGGTCATTCAGTGGACCTTCGTGATACCACTCGTATCCTGTAATTTCACTGCCTTTTCTGATCCTAAAACGGAAACACAGCTTACGAGCAAGCTGCTTAATTGACCTCTTTATGAAGGATTAATATAATAATACTCTACATTGTACATCGTTAGTCAATAAGGAGTGGCTATACCATAAGCGATGTTCCTCTGAATTTAGAAGCCGCGGTCGTGGGCGGGAGCGGTCGCCGCGGCGTGGTGGTGCGGCGCGGCGGGCCGGGGGGCCTGCACGGCGCGCTGCCTGGCCGCCGCGCTCACGCTCGCGCCCGCGCACCGCCTCTCGCACACGCTGCGCCCGCTCGTCGCGCTCCTGCACATGTACGTACGTACGTACTACTACACGGCCATCGTGCGCGGCGCGCTGCCTGGCCGCCGCGCTCACGCTCGCGCCCGCGCACCGCCTCTCGCACACGCTGCGCCCGCTCGTCGCGCTCCTGCACATGTACGTACGTACGTACTACTACACGGCCATCGTGCGCGGCGCGCTGCCTGGCCGCCGCGCTCACGCTCGCGCCCGCGCACCGCCTCTCGCACACGCTGCGCCCGCTCGTCGCGCTCCTGCACATGTACGTACGTACTACTACACGGCCATCGTGCGCGGCGCGCTGCCTGGCCGCCGCGCTCACGCTCGCGCCCGCGCACCGCCTCTCGCACACGCTGCGCCCGCTCGTCGCGCTCCTGCACATGTATGTACGTACTACTACACGGCCATCGTGCGCGGCGCGCTGCCTGGCCGCCGCGCTCACGCTCGCGCCCGCGCACCGCCTCTCGCACACGCTGCGCCCGCTCGTCGCGCTCCTGCACATGTACGTACGTACTACTACACGGCCATCGTGCGCGGCGCGCTGCCTGGCCGCCGCGCTCACGCTCGCGCTCCTTCACTACATGTCGAGCGCGAAAGACACGTCTTAATTGTAGATTAATATATACTTATTATATAACTATCCCTATATTGAATGTATTATCCAGTGTTTTAGAATACGTGTCAGATTTTAAATTTAGTAGTTCAGATGGATTTAGAAGTCTTTATAAAAACTGCAATCAATAACATTGATTTGAAAGACGTAACATAATAATAATATGTTTACATGCCATCCCCTGGGAATATATTCGCGCCTGGGGAGCCATGACTCACTTTAGAATAACACTAATCTATTCTAAAAAACAAAACAGAGAAAAGAAAGACAGCACTCCTTAAATTATATGCACACTAATATAATATATTTTTTTATTTCACAGGCAATCAAAACAAAAAGATGCTAAGGAAATCTCTTACCTCATATTCTACATGCAGCCGAAGAGTAAAATAGAAGCATTTCTGGTAGCTGTTTCGCATACCTACCTGGTGAGTTCTTATTAAATGTCAGTTGATGGAATCTGCTTATGCAGGATTTCCTCTGCTATCCATTTTGCAATGATAATTATGTTTTTATAAAAAGACGCTAAAGCCCTTGAAGATTGAAGAACGTGGGAATGCGTGAGCTCCCGGCGAGCGCTGGTCTTTTCGTTTTTTTTGTCTACTTTTATATACAGATTCTTTTCTGCGTGAAAGTAAAATATATGTAATAAAGACAGTTAAAGTGAAAAATTGTAAAAATAGTTTAAAAGTGTGGATGTGTTCATATATCGTTATGTGGTATTAATGCAGGAGGAGTACGAGCAAGCAGTCTGGATGTACCGATACGCTTTGACGTTCGATGACAAGTTCCTGCCAGCTAAAGCATGCCTTCACGCTACCATGTGTCTCATGTTATTCGGAGAAAATTATATGGCCAAGATTAAAGACTATTTAGACAATTAGCTCAAATTTAATATTTAAAGTTCTAGCTAGGTGTTTAACTTTGTCACACTATGACAATTTTTTGTCGTCAAGATTATACGCAAACGATATTACGACTAAAAAGCAATGTATAAGCTTTTTACGTCAGTTTGTCGTGGTGCGTTGACGTTAACACAGAGTAGAGCATGCGTCTATTTTTCTGCATTAGATGCCTATGCCCGCTTCTTGTTTTGGCTATACAAAATTATAAATGTGTATATGCGACTTTAAACCTAACACTTCACTGAATATCATTTCTATCTTCTTCGTATTTAATGCATTATCTCTACAGATTACTGGTGTTATATACGCTGGAATCGGTTTCGATGTAGTCCCTGTAACATACAAAATTCATATTATAATATATCCGTACATTACATTTAAGTATTACAATACAATTACAATCTTTAATGTCTAATACATAAATAGTACATATTTAAAAACTGAATGTCTATTATCGATAACAATAATATTTAGTCTATGGATACATAATTACTAAAAATACTGTAAACATTATAAATTAAAAGTACATTACTTAAACGATTGTGATGGTACAATAATTTTGTGCTTTTAACTCAGACAATCATATATATTAATAATCTAGAGTAAACAATAATCATTAAATTAAAAAAAATACCGTTCATTCACAAATAATTTTATGCCGATATAGTACAGTTGTTAAATGCAATAGCACTTTAGCTGCATGAAATGGTTTTCAGAAAATAAAATAGTATAAGGAATAAAATACAAGTATAATACATATGTGAATCAGATATAATAATGCTTTGTTCTTTTTGTTGTGTTTAATTTGTTTTTGCTGGCAGATAATGTTTTATAATTTTATTACCGCTATAGAATTCTTATTTGGTTTTAAGTTTTAAGCCATTCTGCCTACAACGATGAACAAAAAATTTTATTATTCTATTTTGTTAATATATGGATCTAATTATCTGGACATAAAAGAATGAGATAAAACAAATGGAAGAGAAATATTTCGGGGAGGTAAAAATGATGTAGTACCCGAAAAGTCTGCGATCAAAATTATAACAAAGTATTTACGTTATTTATTATAAATAGAATCTCATACTAAGTATCACAACGTCGCCATTTCTTAACGTAGTGATTAATTGCTCAATTTTTTATATCATTTCATGTTTTTTTTTAAAAACATTTCGTTATAATTGTTCTGAAGGTAAGAACTGAAAGGAAAAGTTTAATAGGGATTGAAATGTGGCGTCATGTGAAAGTAGCGGGAACGAAGGCTGCCATTTAAATTGTCATAACTTTGTGTTAACGTTTTACTTATAATTTGGTATCTATTAAACTGGTATAAAGCCATCGAAATAATAATAATAAATTATGTATTCAGGCGTAGTATGTGCAGAGTATAATAATTTTCAATTATAGACTTATGTATATATAAATAAAAAACCATTGAAATGGATAATATTGTTGTGATTCTTATAAAGAAGCTATGATGAGTTGATTATTTTTGTTATTCATGATACTGAAATTGATTGCTATATCTTTGTTTTTACGTGCTTTTGTTGCATTTGTATCTCGATATATAGATACTTAAGACTGATGAAATATATCTGTAAGTTAATACTTATAATCCAATTTAATATTGGATATATGTACTATGAATTTATAATTATACAGATTAAAAAATGGTCGTTGTTTTTATTTATTCCTTAGTATGTATGATAAATAATAAAAAAATCTATATTTATCTCTAAGAATATATGTTATTGAAAATATAGTAGATTTAGAAGCAAATTCTTGTACGGATACAAAAATCAATTCCCCTACTACAATTATTAATCAACTTTATAATTTATCTGTCACGATTTTTAAATTCAATATGAGGTATTAATCTGATTGTATGCTGTTTGTTTAAATCTAAATATCTATATGTATCTGTTTCATTATGATGAGGTAATGGACCCCACTTTTTTTATAGCATAGGGGACAAACGATCTTGCGGCTCACAAGCAGGTGTAAATGATTACTGCGGAAAACCAGCGGAATTGCAAATAGGTACATTACGACCTTTGTAATTAATAAGTACTTATGAATATAGCTTTATTAAGCTGTATTTCAATAGAAAAATGAATCTCTATTTTTGTAAACATGTACAAATAATTTGAAAATAAGATCTAGAGTTTCTTGTCAGTTCTTAGCTCGAAAGCACTCCGAACTGATGGTAGATGTGACATATTATAAGAGTCTGTAAGACCTACATGAATAAAGATATTTCGATTTGATTTGGTTTGATAGAAGGGTTATAATTCATTGAAGGCAGAAGGAAGACATTGTAATTACAGTATAAAAAGCAAATAATATTTTCTCGTATAACATGATAACGTCATAATCCTGTTCATGTATGTATATAGGCAATGGTTATGTACAGGTAAGCCATCAGATTGTTTGCCATTTCAATTACATGAAAAAGTCTAAATTTGAAATAACTGATTGAAGTTTAGTCTTTATCTATACAATTTTATTGTACTAACTAATTGTTGTACCTAATATAAAAATATCTGCTCTTGCTCAGGCAACTGACTATGTTTCTTGACTGACAGGCTTATGTTCTCTTGTGTTTGTTATTGTGTTATAGCTATTACTATAATTCGTCTACTATTATTTATATCAAAGTAGACTTGGTCATTCATATAGGCGAGTACAGTACAACAGTCTATTATATAAAGAGATTGCATATATACATTTGAAAAAATAATTATGAAAATCCAATACGAAATATTTGAAGCAGCAGCTGATAGAGTGCTGCCGTCGCCCGCTGATGGCTTGTTGATTATGAAGCACCCACAATAACTATTGGAACACGCACAAGAGTATATCACGCTTACTAGTCCTGTGCAGTGACCAATAGTTGTTTTGGGCTTCGTTCTGTGCCATATCTTGATCTTCTGTTCTGTTTTGAAGCTGAAAGGAAAGAATCATTAATTTCGAATTTCCTAAATCAATGCTTTCATATGTATCTTCGTATGAATGTACTGATTTAGGGCTTGTGGTTGACCAGTACTACTGTCCACTGGTTAAGAAATATTTTGGAAGAGCGAAATAGATAATTAAAAAAAGCATAAATAATGTAATTACTAATTGTTTTTGATCTATTGTGTTTGTTTAGTTTTACTGTATACATATATTGTAATAGATTAATAATGTGTATAAGGCAATATTTGCGATATAAAGTTTCTGCTTACCTGAGAAATAATAAATACCCTAAAAATATGTACTGCTATTTACCGCTAGATGGTGCTACTTTACAGTCGGTGAATATTAATATCAGTATATAACAGATGGCACTCAATTTTGAGAAACTTTCTTCTTTTGTAAATATCGAGGTAAACCTTTTACTGTTTCCTTATAAAAGTTACCTAGAGCTGTGTGTTGCTTACCTTATATGTCTAGTGTTAAGTTAGTTTCATATTTTGATAGTGGAATAGGCCTAATATTTCTAATATTTATTTTTTATGTTCTCGTCTTTTCTTACATTCACTCAATATATCTCTGAATTATTACTGTGTACTAAGCCAATTTAAATAAAAAGAAATAAATTTTAAATTTATGGTGTTTTCATTGCTAATGAAAATATCATTAATTTAAAATTTCTGAAGAAGATGGACAGTGTCCATCTTTTCCTACGGGAGTACCTAGCTACATTAAATCAATTGTAATACCTATTGGGGTGTATAATAAAAGAATAGAAAATAATATTAATGCATGAAAATCAGACACTTTATTAACTGAACACAATGGTAATGCAAATAAATATAGTTTGAATAAATATCAACATTATAAAATAGGCACGAGTAGGTGCAAAACTTTGCTTGTAAATCTCAAGAATCACTAATTTTTACCGACTTCAAAATTTTTCGAATTAAGAATCTGTGTTTCTTAATTCGACTATTTTTTTGAGTGTGATTCGAAATTACGATATTTTTGCCGATTTATTGGGAATTGATTTTAATAAGAGAATAAGACTTTTCATTAAATTAAGTAGTATTATAACTTAATTTTAATAAAAAAATCTATTTATGTGTTGGCAAACCCATAGGTCTTAAGGTACCTATTAATTTGTCAGTTTACTTTTGTCAGATTTGAAGTCGGATTTGTTAAAAATATAACAAATAATTTAAAACAGGTAATTGGCCACAATTTTCTATCACCTGCTTATCCTCTAAGTAAGTACATAGTCAATGAAACTATTAAAATTGGGATCTATTCTTATATACCTACCTATTCTGCACAGTGTAGCATGGTGCAAAAAAGTCAAGTGCAGTATCGGAGCAGTGATGGTGTGAGAATTCTCGGTGAGTGAGAGGGCTCTTATTGTACTTTAGACATGAATTAAATAAACAGTAAAAAAAACCAATAGAAAACACTTAAGCATACTATCATAAAACTATATGTACACAATGTGATACATTATAAATACTTATATAACTATATTAAATGCTGTTTAAGGAAAGTAATTTCATAATTATCTTGCCTTAAATAGCTTACACTTCATTAAAAAATCAGCTAGGAATATCAGAGTGATGGGAGTAATATTGATTGGTAAAACTCTGTGACATTAGTCCTGATGTCCGATCTGAAAAGCGTCTCCATCTCTAATCTTCTATGCACAATTTCAGTAAGTTTATCTTATCTATAAATATATAACTACTTATCTATATATAGTATAAAAGTCTATTGTCACAATGCCGCAGTTTTCGCCTATTGCCTACTTCATTTATCTGTAAAACCGGCGCAACGGTTTTTGTATTATTTCGTATATATACATAATGCATGCAACACCAGTGCGAAGCTGAGGTGGTCACTAATTATATTATAAAACAAACAAACTACTTACTTAAAACAAAAAAGTTGACGATATTTAGTATATAATTTCAGTAAAGAGACGTTAATTATCAATAAAACATATAAAAAATGCTGGCATATTAAAACTGTCCATATTCAAACTGGCATGCGTCTTCATTATGGCTTGAATATATCGGTAGAGTGGTCTTCATACTCGCCGACTATGAAATGCCCGCAATAGCCGCTGTCACACGCACAAGAGTAAGCTCATACTAATCTTGTGCAGTGGCCAGCAGCTGCTTTGGACTTCATTTACGTCTTGCAGCCTTTCTTAACTCTTCCAAGGATGATTTCTTTGGGCTGTGACGCGAGAAAGCTATTCTCTATGTATACTAACATTTATTTATATAATGTAAATAAAAAAATATCATTCTAAATTTAAATAGCTGTTCATAGTTGTGAATTTCATATTATTTGTTTTATTTTATTCAGAGAATAACTCTATCGTACTGATAAAAAAAAGATAAGAAGCCATACAAAATGAATTACATCGACAACGTACCAAAAAATTAAAAAATTAACCTTAAGATAAACATGACAATAAATAATTACTAATAAAGACTAAAATAAAGTCATAAACAACAATTGTTCAATATCAATAGATGAGAACTACGAGAAATGAAGAAGAGAAAGCATATATATAGAGTTATTTCACAGGCTTTTTGAAGAGAGATATTTTAGTTGTCTTTTTTTTTAATATAAAAACTACTACAAGGAAATAACTAAGAAGTAGATACATACTTAAAAATAAAATGATACATTTACCAATAGGTATAATTAATTGTCAAAATTAAAAAATAAACTAACAAAATAAACTGTAAACATGTAATGATTAATGTAAAATAGAACAATAAAATGAAATAGTTTATAGTATTTGATAATTTTTAATACTGCTACTGAACTAAAAAAACTACTATTTATAAATAATTGGAATAGTGTGGAACATAAAATTAATAAGTTTATTTTAAATAACTTACTAGCAGACCCGGCCACGTGTTCCTATGGCTATGGTAATTGAATAAAATAATAATGCGACTATAAATTGAGATGTAAGCTATCCTATCTTTCAAGTTGGATCAAATTATATACAATGTGTAAATCAAATTTGCAATTGGTTCAGTAGTTTAGGCGTATAGGTATCTCGGACAAACAACGTGACAAGTAATTTTTATATATAAAAATTGAACATACC